CGAGCCAGGACTGATAGATCTGGAAGGAGAGTGCCCAAGTTACAGAGACCCTGCGATTCCTTCCGCAGAGCACACTTCTTGCCAGCGTTTGCCTCAGATTTTAAGTCAATGGCACTAAGCGGTGACTACAGTTAATCCAACACTCGCAGCGTTCCCTGAGGCAAGTCCGCCCCTTACGCAAAAATACCACAGAACCGCCTCTTGCAGCACGCAGTCCTACAGCATCGGCCCAAGGGGCCATCGTGGGGAGACTGAACTTAAACCCCAGAGAGGATGGGACAGAGAAAGGAGAATGTCACCACCCTGCATGTGGGACTCCACCCGAGGCCCCGTCCCAAAGCCCGCCTCCCCCGGAGCCGGTCCCAGCCCGCCCAGGAGCCGCACGGCTGACTGCCTTAATCCTTAGATTCACATATGTGCACACGTGTGCCTACGTACACGTGTACATGTGTGTGTAATTAATATACACGTGTGTAGTCTAAATTTAATTTTGAGATTTTAATTATGAAAAATTTCAACCATTCGTGAGAACGAGCCTCCACGTGCCCGTCACCTGCTTCAATAATTAGGAACTTCTCCAGATGCTAGTTTTTAATTTAAAAAATCAATACAGTTTTAGTTTTGAACCAAACTGTGCGATTCTTCGCTGAGTTAGACTCCTTCCTCCGGAACTCACAGGCCTCGCTGCAGCCCCAAGGGGTATTCCCGCCACGGAGCGCAAGCCTGGGCCAGGGACAGAGGGGCCGAGGGGACGCAGACATCGGTGTCTGGACGAGGGGACAGCAAGGGCAGAGCAGGGGCCGCCAGGTCCATCCCGCCCAGGAGCTAAGAATGGTTTTCACATTTTAAAAGTTGTTGGAAAAAAACACAGAAGACAAGTACATGGCCTGAAACTCAGCAGACCCAGCACCCTCACGGCAATGGGAAAAGCTTCTGAGAGGGTGAAGAGGGTGAACGAGAGACCCAGGGAGGGGCCGCCCACCCTGCGGGGTCTGCCAGCACACTTATGCCCCAGGGAAACGTCCCAGGGTCAAGTCTCATTTAAATGTTTCCGCAACTCAGTGACCCGAAAACCAACCTGTCCAAGTCTTGTGAAGAATCTGTACACCACAGAAGGTTTCCCGTGGACGGAATCTCCCACACTGTCACCTTCTGACATGCTGTATACAAGAAAAATACAACATACTTTTAAATTAAATAAAAAGTACTCAAGGACTGGATCATTTTGCCCTGTTTTCATCCACACCACCAAAGCAGGTTTCCTCAGCATTCACTGTTTCATCCACGCCGTAGCTTCCTTCTGTGTGTCTTTACTACCAGTCACCCAGAAAAAAGAAACCAGCCAGCGACACGCTTTGGTGGAGAGCCAGGAAGGCATGTGACATGCAAAGCAGCAGCACCGGGTGGACTTTCGTTCCTGCTAATGTCACCTGGCTCACACTCCTCCGGCAGGTCCCCAGGAGCCGCCCTCGCTGACGGCCAAGTCCTCTGGCCCCATTTCTGTGTCCACCTCCCGGGGCCGGTCCACAGCACGGGCCACCGCGCCCAAGCCTCCCCGGGACTCGCCAGCCTCCAGCACCTCCTCCTGCCACTCCTCGGGCTCCCCTCGGTGCCCCCACTTCTCTAGGCCCCGCCCTGGCCTCTGTCCAGGCCACTGCCCACGGTGCCAGCTGTGCACCTCCAGGTCCTCCCAGACCCGATCCCCACTCCATGACCAGGATCCTCAGGTGATCATCCGTCTGCGTCCCAGTTCCTTATCTGTGCGTGAAGGTAATCCTATCTGCTCCTGACCATTTCAACATGCCCTGCGATTCCATGCACATCTAGCCTGTGAGAACCCAGGTCACTAAGGGAAGCCAAGGGCATCGTCACCCCTGTTCCACAACAGAGGATCAAGCCCCAGATAGCTTAAGCCACTTCTCAAAGTTAAGAGTAGCTCTGACCTCAGCTCCTGCAGCCCAACACACCCCTGCCTGAACCTCGGGACCAGAGGATGCAGAGGATGGAGGGCCCTGCCAGCCTGAAGCTGGTGAAGACGCCGGGGCAAAGCTCTCCCTGCCCGCAAACTTGCGGGCAGCTCCCTCCCGATCTGGCACCACGGCAGGGCTGGGGACCAGAAGTGGACTCCAGCTCGGAGTCTGTTTCCAGGGCCCCTGAGTGGCATGGCTGTGCGGGCTCAGTTTCCTCATTGGGGAGATGGTACCCGCTGGCACAGCGGCCCTTCCCATTCAGACAGAAAACCACGGCTCCCGACGGCCCGAGCTGCCCCAACACCCGGCCTGCGCACAGCGGGGCTGGGGCCTGAACCCACGCCCGCTGACACGTCCTCGCCACGTGCACTGAGCAAGTCCGCAGGCTCACGACGCGATCCCAGGTCCCAAGTGGAACAACGTGCCCGTTACAGCTGACCCTCGAAGAATGCAGAGTTAGGGGCACCGGCCCCCAGCAGTCGACAAGCCAAGTATACCTTACAGTCGGCCTCTGGATCCGCAGTTCAGCCAACCACGGACTGTGCGGTACCGCAGTACTTTTCTCGTGAAAACAATCCACACGTGAGTGGACCCATGCAGTCCAAACCTGTGTTATTCAAGGGTCAACTGTACAACTCAGGTATTACAATAACCTGAGCAGTCCCACCACACACGTCATCACATCTGTGCTGAAAAGTCTGTCATTCAGTGACGCCATTTCCTGGAGCCACCGTGTGGAGGAGGCCAGCTAGGCCAGCGGGTGCAGGAGTGCCAAGAGTACCACGGAGGAGACTGAGAAATGCCCTTTGCTCTCAGGGGAGCCGAGGCTGAACTGAACAGGCGAACTCCTAGTCCTGTCTTTTGAGAAGGTGGGAAAAATTCCATTTTTTAAAAGTGGCTACGTTAGAACTTGTTACCTAGGACAGCCAGCCACCCTCTTTAGGCCAGAGCCAGGCCAGCAGAGAGCTACATCAGTAACATCATTTACCCTTCGGCTCCATACAAACTACCCCTTATTTTACTTTTTTATGACCAAAGTGTTTACCTTTAAAACGCTTCTACTTGAGCTGAGGCATGAAGATGACCATTAGAAAAACCTGGGTATTCCTTTGAAGTACGCGCCCTAAGTAGAAACGACCGCTTCTAAGTCTCATTCTTTCAACTGAACGTGTGGAAAATCTTCCCAAAACAAAACAGCAAACTTCAGATCACCTGGCAAACGACATACGTGGTGACACACGGCTCCACACCATGGCTGAGCTTGCGTACAGCGACGTTTAGAACGTGAACTTTGGAGTCAAACGGCCTGTCTATGGCGTGACCCGCAGGCCACCTCGGCCGGCCCCACTCCGATTTGTAAAGCACCGTAGGCCCCTCCCGGGCCTCTGTGGGAGTGAGCGGCCAGCCGTGTTAGCATCAGCAGCAGGCCTGGCCCGTAGGGCGACCGAGGGAGGGAGGGAGCGAGTGCGTCTCCCTCAGACACGAGTCAGACCTGTTCCCGAACGGGGCAACCCTCACACGGCTGGGTGCCTGCGGTCCTCTTCCCTCTGCTGTTCCAAGGCCGCCGCCTCGGGAGAGGCCCCCTGTGACTGTCCAACAGGTGCCGGTCCCTCACATCATGTCACCCTGTTTTATTCTGTGTGACGATCGTTTCTGATTGCTTTCCGCTTTCTCTCTCTATTACCTCCTACTACAACGCAAACTTCTTGAGGGGGAGCCTTGTCTGTCCACTGCCAGTCCCACGGCCCACAGGGCCCGGCACAGAGCTCGCAGTGGGTAAGTTCTCTGTTGGATGTCACTGTTTCAGGCTCAGCCTCAAGAAAACAAAGGCAAAAATAAGACAAAACCATTCCAAGCAGAGACCAGAAGTATCACGTCTGGAGATTTGCGTACAGAGTTCCAGAGTCATCACTGCACCTGTCTGTGGAGTGGACCTCCCTCCTCAGATGGCTCCCATTACACAGAGGACAGTCCCGCCCGGTGCACGGGTCACCCACAATTTGGCTCCCACTGCCTCTCCGTTCATCCCCCTCCCCATTCCTCCTGGGTCCCCAGCGTGGTAATTTTCCACACTTTCGCCCTCTGATGTTGTTCCCTCCGCTGAAATGCCCTTCCAGACCCCATCCACTCGAGCGCTCGGCCAAGCCCCGCCGCCGGCTGCTCCCTCCCCTGGGCGTGACCACCTTCCCGTCTCCACCGGGCCCTGACCACGCCGTACCTGCACCACCACAACCGGGGGCCCCGGGGGGTCCGCCTTACACATCCCCTAAAGTGAGACCCACCCGACCGAGCAGCAGGCGCCCCGGGACGCTCCCAAGCCCAGGTGCCCAGGGCAAGTTTCCAGAGGAAGCTCTGGGCCCAGCACGCGGGGCGCCGTCGGGCGGCTCGGCCCGAGCGCTCGGAACCTTCGGTTCGCAAAATGGCCAGGACTCGACCTCAAGACACCCAAGTCCACCGCGACGCTTCCTACCCAAATCCCGCAGGCCGCCCTGGGTCGGCGAGGACACCGAGGCCCCACGGCCCGGGCCGGGCGGCCGACCCCTTCCAGGACGCGCCAGCGGGGGGCGGGAGCCGGTCATCGCGGCGACCCCAGGGGCCCCGTTCGGCCCCGGCCCCGCGCGCGGCCCCCAACACCCCGGCCCCCGCCCCGCCCCACCCCACCCGCCGGCACCTCGCGGTCCACTGCGGCCGAGCGCGGTCTCCCGAGGGCCGCGGGAAGGAGGACGCGAGTGGCTGCCGCGCCGGCGCTTCGCTCGGTCCGGGAAGACGCAGCCGAGCACTTCCGCTCCGTCCCGAGCGGCACCGCCTCCCGGGCCTTCAAGATGGCCTCCGGGGCGGGGCCGAGAGCCTCCAACCATTTCCGCTTCCGGTGCGGGCGCCCAGGCCGTTGGCGGGGCGGTCGCGTCGGCGGAAGGGACGTAAGCGGCGGAAATTCGCCGCGTTACGCAAGCGCAGTCGCGTCCTCTGGCTCCGGGCCCAGACAGCTCCGCTCCAGAGATTGGTAACGCCCAGAGACTGAGCCCGAGGCCACGCCCCCTCGCGACCAACGAGCCAATGGAGGAGTGCTATGAGGTTGCTAAGGGAAACTCTAGAGGCAAGATGGCGTCCGCCCGTGATGGGTGCGCGAGCTCCCGCCTGGCGCGCCGAGACCCGCCGGTTCGGCCACTGCGGGATGGTAACAGCCGACTGCGCCCTACCGGGCCTCGGTCCGGATGGGAGGGAGGCGGGCAGGTCCGGGCGCTCGCTGCGTGTCCCCGCACACGCACTTTCACTTCAGGAAGTCCAGAACCCGCAACCCCCAAGCCCAGCGGGGCTCCCCACGCGCGCCTCCCCCGAGCCCAGCCCGCAACCCCCGGAAGCCTTGTCGCCCCCAATTTGGGAGGGACGCGCGTTCGCGTGTCCCGGTGCCCGGGGGATGGGCGGGGTCCCGGGCCCAGAGTAGCAGAACCGGCCGTGTCTTGGAGACCCAGCCGGCAGGAACCGAGTCGAGCCTGGGTGTCCCTGCGTCCTGGCAGGGGTCGCCTCCTCTGACCGCGCCTCCCAACGTCCCCGACGCGCGGTCAGAGGAGGTTTGATAGAACCTGTTCATAGAATGAAAAAAATGGGGCCGTAGAGATCGAGTCCACATCTCGTAACTTCAGGTAGAACCCGAGCCTCGTTTATGGCAGATACCAGAGTCTGGCAACCCCAAGCTTCCCTAGAAATGCTCGCCGCAAGTTGGCCTTGAAATAGGGGGGCTGGTGGGAACTACTGGAGTTGGGGGATGGTGCACCCAGCAGCTGAGTGGCAAGAAGTGACGATGGGCAGGCCCTCCTTGGATGCAGGTGTGGGTTTTGTCTGGAGGGCACAGGAGGCCACTGGGGGGATGAGGTCCCTGCAGAGAGATGACCGGGACGGCTCTTCCCCTTGTGCCCTCGCTTACCCCCAGCTAATTCGGCTCAGTTCAAATGTCCCCTCTCAGGAAGGCTCCCCACCCCCACGCACACCCATCCACCCTCCCACCAACCCGCACGCTCCTTTCAAGGACCCTGCGCTCACTCCTAGCGTACCTCCCCCGGGACCTCTCTGCACAGAGTAGGTGCTCAGCGTGTCTGGTGCATAAATAGATGAACAGGGAGAGTCGTGACCCAAACTGAGCCTTTGGGGAGCAGTGGGCAGGGGAGTTCACTGGGGGTGAAGCCACAGACACCTGGAGAAGCCCCCGGGACGGCCTGCACCTCAGTGCTTGCTGGTCATCAGCCAGGTCACCTGTGTCTCTTGCTAACCTGTGCGCCCTCCTTTCAACATTCAGGTTACGGAGTCTTCGTTTACCCGAATTCTTTCTTTTGATATGAAGGAGAATGGAGAGGAAGCAGGAAACATGGTAAGGATGGGCTGTGGCCTCTTCCTGCAGCCATGCCGCTGATGGCCCGTGTCCCTGCCGATCTGGGGGCCACACAGGTGCTGGCCACACCGGGCCCTCAGCACTCACTAGTGCCCGTGAGGGGCCATCCTGCAGCGCTGGAGGCCTGGACAGCTCCCCTGGTGCTGATGAAATCTGCTTTTCTTTTTGTTTGATGATAAAGAGACTGCCAGTTTTTGTAGAAAATCTAAGCAGCAGAGGAGAGCAAGTATGAAGCGAAAGTCCCCTGGAGCCCCCCGGAGGCAGGCCTGAACTTCCCAAAGTTTACACTCATGGTTTTGTGCCTGTTTGGGGTTCTGTCTGCTCACATCCTCTGCCTGGTTTTCTGCTGGAGGATTGATCTTTCAGTATTTTCTCATGAGCTATTTTTACATCTGTTGGCTGCCAGGATTTTCTATATTTTGAAACTTTTGACTTTTATTGACTTTTCTTGTAATGTTTTTGCCCCACGGATGTTTCTCACTTTTGTGCTGAAATCTCTGGTTCTCTTCCTGGCCTGGACAGAGTGGTTCCTCCTTTTTGAAATGTATGCTTCAGTGTCACCCTATGACCACAGACTCTCTCTCTCTCCTTCTGTCACTGCACTGACAGAGGCGAGGTGGCCGTCGAGTCCCCTCTGAGGAGGTCTGGGGCGGGGTCCTTGAACTTTCGATGGCCAGAACAGCAGGAAGACTTTCGGTCATGTTTCACGGACGTTCTTGTTGGTGGACATGTGTGGGTGAGCCTGCAGAGAGCACGTGCTGGACGAGAGATGGAGCCAAATGCAGAGACTTTCACGGCTCCGTGCTCGTCCCTGAGAAACGAGCCTGGCCACACGCATGCCCCAGCGGCCACTCCCAGCCACTGCCTGACAGCACGACGTCTTTCACCAGGTCAGGGCAAACTTCTGCTTAAAGACGGGAGTTACTACGAAGGCGAGTTTGTAGACGGAGAGATCACGGGAGAGGGCTGCCGGCACTGGGCCCTGACAGGTTAGCTGACCCGACGCTTTCCTCCTAAAGCAACCTTGGTGTGAGCTGGCCCCTCCCTTCCGGGCGCAGAAGGCACTTCCATCAGTAACCTGGGGACCCCTGGTTTCCCTAAGGTGTCTCGTAATGGCCTCGTGCCAGCCTGGGGCAGGGTGGCCACACTGCTGCCCGCAGAACCTCAGACCCCCACTGGCAAGCGGGTGTTGGGTTCTCAGCGGAGAGAAGCCTCACACCACGGACTCCGGCCTGGCGGGGCCTTTGCCCCCAGCACACAGATGCCCCAGAGAGGGTCCCCTTGCGATGGAGTCTGCACGTACACTGCCGGGAGGGAGGGAGTCCCATTTCCCTTGTTCAGGGTGAGCGGTGAGATAAAGGGACACCGTGTTCTGCTACCACTGCCCAAGGGTCGGGCAGGAACTACTGGTTACCCCGCTGGACTCAGGAAACGAGTCTAACCCTGGACACGGCTTCCCGCCTCCCGTCCACACCGGGGAACACCTACACCGGACAGTTTGTTTTGGGAGAACCCCAAGGACATGGCGTCATGAAGTACAAAGCCGGCGGACGTTACGAAGGGGAGCTCTCCTGCAGCCTGAGAGAAGGTCCGGGGTCCGTGGGAAGGCGTGAGGCATCGGCCTCGGGGTGGACACTGTGGGGCCCAGACCCCAGCCCTCCCTGGATCCTGACTCGGGGCCTGGGCGGGCCTGGGCGCGAGTGCACTCCCCGGTCCGGTGAGGTTCGGAGCGCAGGGCTCACAGCGAGCCCCTCAAACCTGGTGACTCAGGTCCCCACTCTGCCATCGCCCTCGATCCCGTGTCAGCAGTCGGCCTGGGATCGGCCAGGCGGGTCTCCTGGACTCGCTGAGGGTCGCAGTGGCTCAACCAGCACTGTGGGTCCTCTTGACCCTCGGCTCGGTCACCTCCTCCACGTCCTGTGGGACCCAGCCAGTCAGGAGGCCACATTCCGGGGAGCAGCAGGCAGAGCCCCGGGGTCGCCGGAGCGAGCGGAGCAGTCCCAGCCCCCGACAGCATGCCGGCGCGGGCGCAGCTCTGACCCCTCCAAGGCCTCCCGTGAGGGGTCAGGACGCCCCCCTTCCCGAGTGTCCAGGCCCTGAGACTCTGTGTCTTCACGAGCACTTCCTCTGGCCTTTGGGCCCTTTGAGTAGGTGGTAGAGGCCCTGCACAACTGTCGGTCCTCAGCGTGAACTCGCACCTGCGAGCTGGCCTTGACCGCGCGGCAGCACCACCCCAGCCGGACAGCAGAGCGTTTCAGTCTCCGATGCTGGGGACCCCGGGCGCCCCCACCCTCCCTCGGGACCTTGAGAGCTGGACTCAGAGCCGCTCCCGCTGCGTGTGGCTGCCAGGCCGCCCCAGATCGGATTGTGGGGCCGGGGGACCCCCATGGGGCCCAGCTACAGGGGGTGCCGACCCCATCCTTCTTCTAGACACCCCCCTCCCCCAACGGAGGTACGAGGTGACCCTCGACTCTCGCCCGCCTCCAGGACAGGGGCACCTGGTGGACGCAGATGGACAAGTGTACTGGGGGTCATTTCACGACAACAAGCGGCACGGCCAAGGGCGGATGGTCTTCCGGTGAGTCCGCCGTCCTGTGGGCCGTACCCCCATCGAACACCCAGCCCTGAAAGTACGGTCTGTGATTTTTTCATATGATCCTGCAATTTCTCCCTCAGTTGCTGACATTGGTTCTGTGTGTATTTAGTAGAAAGAACATCCGTCCCCCTCCTCCAATGAAACACCAGGTGAGGAGGTCGGGTGGGCGCGAGGGTGGAGCGGGGCCGAGTCGGGTGACACCCGCAGGCTCTCAGCTTCGGGCCCAGTGCTGGGCGTCTTTCACACTCCAGGCAGTTTTCGTGCAAAATCCTGCCCTTGGGATTTGCAGGCCCCCCCATTTCCTTCCCGTTTTCCTCTCCAAACCTTCACACCTGGGGCCCAGCAAGCGGGGCCTCCCGTCACTGCACGCCACCGGGCGCCAAGGCCACCTGCCCCTCTGGCCGGGCCCTGGCAAGGCCACAGCTTGTGCCATCTGTTCTGGGCCTATTTTTGCCTTGGTCCCGGGGGTGCGTGCTGAGCCCCAGTCGGAGGAGCCAGTGTGCGTCACACAGCCACCTGGCCCTTCCCAGCCTGAGAGCAGCCTCCGCGTTTGTCCCTCAGGAACGGAGATGAGTACGAGGGCAACTGGGTCTGGGACCAGCGCCAGGGCCATGGGACACTGCGCCATGCGGACGGCTCCATCTATGAGGTACTGGACCCACCGGCCGGGCGTCCTCTGCTCCCGGTGCCGCCCGGGGTGCAGCCCAGGTGCTGCCCTTCTGACCCTGCGAGGTAGGGTCGGCCACCGTTCCCTTTTCGCTGATGAGAAGATGCGGTTCAGAGAGCTTAAGGGCCACCCGCTAACACCTTTCCGTCCCGTCTGGTTCCTGAAACACCCCATGACCCAACACTCTCTCCTGTGGGAATGACCTGGTGAAGCCTTTTTGAGAGGAGATACCCGTGGGGTCCCAGTGCCCTCGATAACCTGGGGAAGCAGGCGAGGACCCCTCCCTGCTCCTCGCGAGCAGGGCTCTGCGCCCCACCCCCCATCATGTCGCAGCTGCTACTCTCGGCTTGATGGGGGCTTTTAGGTGCCACGAGGCCAAGAGATTCAGGCACATGGGAAGACCTTCTCGGGCCCCCAGAATCCGCCATCCTTGTGCTTCCCGCACGCCGGCCTGTGGGCCTGGCCGGCCCTGCAGAGATGCAGCCAGGGGCCAGAGAATGCCGCGTGAGCCAGGTCTGAAGGATGGGAAGGGGCCGCCGCATGGAGACCACAGGGAAGGGCATTGCAGGCAGCGGAAGGGCGAGGCTGGGCTCCAAGGCAGGAAGAAGCCTGCGTGGCCAGAGCAGGGGTCAGGGGAGGCCAGGCAGGAGGCCCAGGCCGTCCCGCGCACAGGCCCCGGAGCCACGAGGGCTTGGAGTTTTATCCTACACGTCACAGAAAGTGCTGGAAGGAGTTGGTGACCTGACCCCTGTGTTTGGAAGGCTTCTCTTGCTCTCACTCATGGAGAGAGGTGATGGCGGCCTGCACGGGGTGTGGAACCAAATTTGGGGGGTTTGGAGGCACAGACACTGGACTGGTTGACAAGGGCAGAAGCGAAGATGTCCTGCATTTCTGGCCCAGCGTCGGGTGGATGGTGGTGATGCCTGAGCCAGAACCCACCGGAAGACAAGTCACACCGGTAATTGAACGTGAAAGTATCAACTAGTGAAAGACAGCAAAATACCCAAAGGAGTGAAAGCAGGAATATGGCCAAAGCAAATGCGAAAGTGGCCCCAGGAGGTGCCCCCGAAGATGGGGTGGGGACCGGCCTGGTTGCATCCTCGGGCCTGACCGCGTGGGGCTGAGGCCATGGGAGACGTGACTTGTGGCACGTGGCAGCTTTGGGAGTGACTGAGCTGCCACCGAGCTCGGCTGTGATGCGCCAGCTGAATCTGGGCCTCGGGAGCCGAGGGTTGCACGTGGCTGTGGATGTAGTGACGGCGGCGCGAGGCCCTTGGTGTCCTGGACGGGAGCTCAGGTCTGCACTCAGCTCCAGCCACGGTCCTGAGAGTCTCTCACTTCTCACAGCCTCAGGGCTGAAACAATTTGACTGTGTGGGTTGCAGAATTAGGTTGTCAGCTGAATTCATATCTTTGCCAAGTTTCTCATGTGAAAGTTAGAGTGGAGATTGGGAAAGAAGTCCCAGGAGACGAGGGAAAGCCCAGCCCCTCCGGAGACTCAGACCTCGCAGACAGGGGGTGTGGCCACAGCCCGCTGGGTTGGAGGAGCTTCCCTGGGCGTCTGCTGCCAGCCGCCGGGGCCGTGTGTGCAGGAAACCCTGGGACACAGAGGAACTCGCCCAGGACAAACCCCTGTGCCTGAGGGGTTAGGAGTGGGCACCCTGGAGCCCGAGGGAAGCCTCTTCCCCGCAGGGTCCTTGCAGCGCCCAGCACGGCACCAGCTGGCAAAGCGACACGTTTCAGGGTCCAGCTCCCGGAGCACAGAGTCGGGCAGGAAGGGTCGTTTGGGGGCTGAGGGGCAGTAAACTGGTAACTGGCCAGGGCACTTCCTGAGATGGAGTGGCCTGCTGGGGAGTGTGGAGTCCTGCCCTGGCTGCGAGGCTCCCCCCCGGCATGCTCACCTTGCCTGCTTGTAAAACGCAGAGCTCTGCTTAGGTGACATCACCTCCCAGGCCCCTCCTGGGACCGCAAGTCCTGGTCTGGGTAGCCAGCCACTCCCGGGGTGCCACCTGGGCCGCTGCGGTTGGCAGTTTGCGCCAGAGCCCATTTGCAGATGCCGCTGTGCCCCGGCCAGAGCTCTGCTGCTTCTCCCCAAGGGGGACGTCTGTCCATCCTCATGGGGCCAGGCTTTAGGGCTCATCCTGGGCAGCCGCAGTCACTGGCCTGAATTCTCCAGAGCTGCCACGGAAGAGGGAAACGCAGGGAGACCTGGGAGGATCTTCCTCGCTCGGAACCCCCAACAGCGTCCACACCTCGCGGGCTGGGGGCGTGGGGTCGCGGTTCTAGTGCTGGCACTGCCCTCAGCTGCCTTCTGGCTCCCCGACTCTCTCGACCACCGTTCCAAAGACGAGGCGGCCTCCCAAACCAGGGGGTGGCCGAGCCCTCGCCTTCTTCCAGAGAATCCCGAAAGCCTCTGCCCCCACCCTCCACCCCGCATGCCCTTCCCCCAGAGGCAGTTTGGGCTCTTCCAGGGCCTCCGCATCAGGGGCCTGGGCACTGGGGGCCGTGCTCGGGCCTCCCCAGCAAGTCGCTGCTCAGCCGGGGGGCTGGGGGTTCCCCGCCGCCATCCACCAGGGGGCAGCCCGGCCCTGCCTACCGCCCGGCCCTGCAGGGGGCTCCTCCGCTGGCTGCGGAGCTAGAGCCGCGTCCCTCCAAGCGGATGCCCCGTGGACGCCGGCTTGGATGTCAGGCGGGAGCCGGCGGAGTGCGAGGGGCTGGCGGCTTCGTCCCCCCGGCGCTTTGCAGGTGAACGAGGGTCCTTCCCCGGGTTTCAGGCCGTCCGCCTGCGTTCCCGCTGCTCAGCGATGCCCCAGCCTCTCAGGGCCGCGCGACCCAGACCCTGAGCACCGGGCCACGCAGCCCCGCGGTCGGGAAGCGCTGCCCCCACCCACAGTCGCAGCCACGACCATGTCCTGAGGGCCCCGGGAGGACAGCCAGGCCCTGAATCCCCGCGCCCCAAACAGCGTTCCGACGGTGTGGGCACAGGAGCTCCCAGCTCTCAGGGCCCGCCTCTCCGTGCTGTGGGGATGCCTCCTGCGCCTGACCTCTAAGCTGTGACCTCTGGGCATGAACGGTCACCTGGGAGAGATGGAGCCGCCAGAGAGAGTTGGCATGTCCCCCATGAGGGCACAGCCGTCCCCAGGCTTTCACTAGGCAAAGAGCTTTCTCTGTTTTTAAACTTTATTGCAAGATACACATAACATAAAATTTGCCGTCTCATCCATTTGTAAGTGCACAGCCTGGTGGCATTAAGCGCATCCACATTGTGTGTAGCCATCACCACCGTCATTTCCAGAACTTTCTCTCTCCCCCAAACTGAAGCTCTGTCCCCATTAGACACTCACTCCCCACCCAGCCCCCGGCCCCGCCCTCCTACTTTCTGTCTCTATGGGTCTCCTCCCGGGACCTCATAGAAGTGGGGTCATGTAGGATGTGTCCTTTCGTGTCTAGCTCATTTGACGCGGCATCGTGTCCTCTAGGTCCATCCACGTTGGGGCAGGTGTCGGGACCTCCTTCCTCTTTAAGGCTGGCTCCTGCTCTGCCGTGCGGATGTTCCTTCCGCGCTGCGTCCGGCTGCTCGTCCCTCGATAGACACTCGGTCTGTCTCCACCTCTTGGCGCCCGTGAGTGACGCTGCTGTGAGCACCATCCTGCTCCCAATTCTGGGAACGGCGCAACTGCTGGGTCACGTGGCGATTCTATTTTTAACTTTCTGAGGAACCTCCACACCATTTTCCATTTTCCATTCCCACCAGCAGCGCACCAGCGTTCCAATTTCTCCACATCCTCCCCCAACGCTTGTGTTCTCTGGGGGTTTTGTGTTTGTTTTTTTATTTATTTATTTTTGGCTGCATTGGGTCTTCATTGCACGCAGGCTTTCTCTAGTTGCGGCGCGCAGGCTTCTTATTGCGGTGGCTTCTCGTTGCAGAGCACGGGCTCTAGGCGCGCGAGCCTCAGAAGTTGTGGCTTGTGGACTCTAGAGCGCAGGCTCAGTAGTTGTGGCACACGGGCTTGGTTGCTCCGCGGCATGTGGGATCTTCCTGGGCTTCCAGGGCTCGAACCCGTGTCCCCTGCGTTGGCAGGTGGATTAACCACTGCACCGGCAGGGAAGTCCCATGTTTCCTGCTTTTTAAATAACCGCGGTGCCAATGAAGTGATTAAGAGACAGGCATCAGGCAGCCCCTCGGAGAGCAGCGTCCTCCGGGGCCACCTCCGTGGAGCCTGGGGACAGACTGTGGGCTGCGGAGGCGAGCGCACACCTGGCGGAGGGGACAGAGGGGTGCTCTCCAGTGAGCCTCAGCCTCTGTGCACATGGAATGTTCCTACCTGTGCAGCTGTGCCGTGGTGCCGCCAGCAGCTGCGCTTCTGCCCGTCCCGGGGCACCTCCGTGTGCATTGGCTGCATTTCTCGTGTTGGCGTTTCTCTGCATTTCTCGAAGGGAGGCCTGCTGGGCGGCGCACCTGCTCACCACACAGAGCAGGTGGTCGGCCGCATGCGCATCTTCACCTGCTGGTGGCTCGCAGCCTCCCCTCTCCTCACCTGTGCATCTGTAGGAATGCCAGGGGCTCCGTGCCCCTGTGCCACTGTCCTGGCCGGGAGGTCACAGTCCAGGAATGGGGGCCTGACCGTGAGAAGCATCTGGGCCCATTGGCACATCGTGGGAGGAGGGGCCTGGGCTGCCAGAGCAGAACCAGCGCTGTCCCACGTTCCTGGTGGGGTTCTACGCAGACGGATATCAGGACCCGGAGTGTGAAGGCAGCTTGCATTTGCATCAGCAGAGCTTGTCACACTTTGGAATCCAGGGAACTTACGGCCAGGATCGTGGAGATCAAAGACACCTTAGGGACCCTGCTGTTAGCTGGGAAGTGAGGGGCATTGTGTCTGCAGAGAATGATGGGCAGGGGCCACCAACACTCTGGCCTGTGTGGCCACTGCTGCCCCAGCAGGCCACCCCGAAAGCTGGAGACCCCGGGCCCCTGCAGCCGCAGGCCCAGGCAGGTGACCCGGGGCCACGCCCCTCCCTGGTCTAGGAGCCGTGGCCTCAGGGAAGTCCTCACCTGCTCCAGGAGGGAGTTTGGTGACAGTGGGAAGTCACCTTCTCCAGACTGGATGCCATCAAAGAAGATGCTGTGGAGAGCCGGGCCCCGGCCCCTCCTGGTGTGGTCGGTCAAAGCCCGGTGCCCTGGAGAGGACTGGAGGTGGGGAAGAGATGGGTGAGCTGGGAAGGTGGGCTTCTGACCGGGGCGGAGATTCAGAGTGTGCCTGGGAGCGCCTGAAAACGCAACAGGACAACGCAGCCGTAGAAGCAATTCCAGGGAAAGCACCGTCACTTTTCCCGGGAAAGAAAAACAGCGTCTGTTAACTAGAAAGTGCTTCCCGAAATGAGAAGAGTCAGGTGTGTATTTCTCACAATTTATTCAAACTCGTGTGTGGTGGGGAGGGCACCCAAGCGGCCCCTCGTCCCACCCCCGACTCCGTGCTCTTCAAAGAAAGGACCAGGGAAGGAGTTCTGAGCACATAGGTCCCTATCCTGGAGCTGAGAGGCCCTGGGGTTGCCTCAGCCACCGCCGGCCACAAGGTGTGCCCCACTCACCCCACGGGGCCTCTCCTACAGGGACCCCGCGCACCCGTGCTTCGCGTGCAGGGTGGCCCGGCCGTCCTCCCATCTTCCTGCACTGCGGCAGCACACACAGGTCCTCACCTGCACGGGGAGGAGAAGGAAGAGCCGCCAGGCGCAGCGACGCGTTAACACGTGTTTGTTCGCGCGCTGGTGCGTGTCAGCTGACTGAGAAAGGGCAGGGTTTTCAAAAGCATGATTTGTAACATTAATTAGATTCTACGCTGTTGGATGAGTTACACTGCTGGAGTGTATCGTGTATCTGTCCTGGGAAAGTGCTGTGTTGCAGCCTGAGCTGGGGTGGGGGGTCTCAGATTACGAGAGCGCGATTAAGCGGTCGGTCAGCGATTAAGCGGTCTGTCAATGCTTGGATGGCGAGGACTGGACAGTGACTTGGCGGGGAGCCTGACCCTGCTCACACCCAGTGGGGCGGAGTGGGCCGGGGCTTCGTGGTCTGAGGGGCACGTTCACTGCCTGTCTGCTCTGCACGCGGCAGCCCGTGCGCCCGCAGGCCATGCTCCAAGGCTCTGTGTGCTGGACCCTTCTCAGTCTGCTCCTGGCTCCCAGGCGACCCTAGGCCCTGCCTGCCTTCTTCCTGAAAACCCACGCTGCACCTTCGCAGAGGGCCAAGGGGCCGGGCAGGGCGTGCAAAGATGTGGACCCCGACACGGTCGAGGGCCCCAGTGGCCATCGTGCTGTTTGGAGAGGAGCCCGCGCTCATTCGAGCCCTAGTTGTCCCCATGGAGCCCTGCCCTGGGAAGCTCATGCCCCGGAGCAGACAGACAGACAAGAGGGGACCACGACTGAGAGGGAAGGGGGAGGCCGCTGGGAGGGGCCCGCGGAGCGCCACAGAGCTCAGCCCTCTTTGGCGGGAGCGCTCAGAGTCACGTGATGGAGAAGCTCAAACAGAGGCCGAGGCCGTGTCACAGGGTCGGGCGTGCGCGCGCACTGAGCTCCCGCCACTTCCCCGTGGCTGGAAGCCCCGTCTCCCACCTGCCTCTGGGCGTCCTCCCCCGTCCACCCCGCAGGGGCGGTGACCCCAGCACCGCTGCCCAGGACAGGGGTGAGGCCTGCGCTTGTGCGGGCGGGCAGCACACTGGCCCCGGGCACAGAGCGGGCGCAGCTCCAGCTGGGGGCGGTGTGCGGGGGAGGCAGCCGGGCCCCACAGGGGGGTGTTTGTCTCTGGAGGCGACCACCCTTCCCCGGGGCTACCGGCCCACTGCCCAGGCACCACAGCACAGAGCCTCAGACGAGGGCATGAACCTCTACGTAAAAGGGCGGGAGTGGGGGGGCGGGGCGGAGTGATGAGTTGATTTGGCTCCTGAGAGGTGCGTTCGATTGGCCGTGAGACCTGCTTCCCGAGTTGAAACCGGTCACTTCTCCGGCCTGGGGACGGCGGCGTGAGGGAAGCGAGGGGTTCCGGCGACTCGTTCACCTCTGAGGAGCACCACTGACCCCAGCAAAGCGACTACGGGGCTCGAGCTGGGAGAAGCTCTGACGTCAGTGTGCTGTACACAGCTGGGGGTGGGGGGCGGCTCCCTGCCCCCCAGGGCTGGCCCCACCCAGACTCAGAGACAATGGCCCAGCTCGGCCAGGACCCTCCCGCTCTGCTCCCCCGCAGGTCACCCTGCCCATCGCGATCACTGAGCATTGCTGCCTCCACCACACAGCAGACGCAGGTGCACACGCCCGCATGCATGCACACCTGTGCACAGGACCCCTTCCTGGGACCAGGCAGCAAGCCCAGCAGATGCTGCTGCTTGGAGTCCGCACTGGCTCCAGGGATGGTCAGCTAGTGACTCTGGGGCTCCCCAGCCCCTCCCAGGACGGCAGCACGGGGTCCCCGCTCTGGCGTGATACCTGCGGCCTCGCCCCCTCTTTGGCCTGGCACGCTGCCTGCAGACGTGAGCCACGTCTTAGGGGACGTCGATAGACCGTCTGCGATGTCAGCCGTGCTGGCACCGAGCTTTCCGGGAACGCAGCCCGAGTGTGGGCCCAGAGGGCTCAGCTCTCTGGGTCTGGGGGCTGGAGGGACGAGGCTGCCCTGCGGCTCCAGGCCTCCCGTGGGGGTTACAGCCACGCCTCTGCCCAACTGCCACCCCCAGCTGGCAGCCGGCCCCTCCTGCAGCCGCGAGCTGTTGCCTTGCCGCTACTGCCATGCACCCACCAGGGCGCCGCAGTTGTCCGGTGCCCCGGCTGGAGGGGGAGCCGCGGCCAGGCCCCTTCCCTGTCACCTTGTAATGTGAACACAGCGACCGTGTGTTCCAAGCAGCCGTGGAACCTGTTCCCCCAGATCTTGGGGTGTCTGAGCTCTTCAGGGGCCGTTCCCACAGGCCTCACCTGCCAGACGGCCCCTCCCGAGGGCCTGAGGGGCTCCCGCCAACCGGAGTCCGGCCCCAGCTGCTGGGCGGCCTCGGGCCACTCGGAGGGCTGGGCAGGAAAGCAGGAGCCCAGTCACCTTCTGCCAGAGTGAATCGAACCAAAACGCGCCTGTGGCTCATGCTTCTTCCAATAGGAGTAATTCATAGCTGAATAAAACCCCATTAAGATCTCGAACTTTTCCAGGAAAGCAGTCTTTGTGCTCTTCGGCACTGTTCTTCCGCTCGGTCGTGCTTATCGTTTACAAAGCAGGCTTATTATGGGGGTGGCAGAGTTGGGGCGTGCAGCGAGTTGGCACTGCCCCCAGGGTGCGGCTGTGCGGGTTCCCAGTGTGATTTTAATTGGCCTTTTTGTTATCAAGGAGCGTGTCGGAACGCTCAGCCCCTCGACCCCGCAAGCCTCCGCTCGCTCGCCTGCACGGTCGGCCTCCCGTGACTGCACAAATGCAGTATCTTTGTGTTAAAAGGGTTTCGTGCTAAAAAGTGTGCCCTTTGGAGCCATATTTTCTTTGCATTTTGTATTCGGGCCATTGTCTCCAAACTTCCTGGCTTCTTAAAGTTCAAAGGGCAGCGCCTTCTGCGGAGGTCCCCAGGGGCCTTCGGAGCCTGGGGGGCCGCCGGGCTGTGCGGCAGGGAGACCAGCCCGTCTGAGCCCATGGTTCTCTCCACGGGGACAGTGGCACGGTGACGTGTTCAGTGGAGAGGGCAGCGTGGCCCACTGCTCCGGGGGCGTCTACCGAGGGGTGTGGATCAATGGCCACCCCGTGAGTAGGTGCCCCCGGCCTTGCCGCTGGCCCCGTGGGGTCCTCTTGTGGGGTCACGTCTGGGTCTGGCCGTGTCCTTTCTCAAGTGGCCCTGGGCAGTCTCGCGGGAGGTGTGGACCAAGCGGGGCTGGATGGAGTGGAACCTAGAATCCCCTTTTGGGAGAAACATGCTCTGCTGTGGTTTCACGGGGCTCGTGACACGCAGAGGCCCCCGTCAGACCCTGAACCCAAGTGGTCCTGCTTCAAGCAGGGCTCCCAGCCTCGGGGTCTCCCACCCACGGGGCTCTGGGCGTCTGGCCTCCCTGCACAGCCTCCATCCAGCCCCCCACCCTGAGCTCTCTGCTCTGCAGTGTGCGCACAGGTGGCCTGTGGCCTGCAGGGTCCTCTGCTGGCGCCTCACCCTCCCCGTGTTGCCTCCGGGCATGGGGGCTTCTGTTAGACTCCAGGGACTCGGGTCACCAATCAGAACCTTGGTGCCGGGTCCACGGGTGCAGCTGCTCACTCAGAGCTGCGGGTGGACCCTGCTCACCAGGCCAGCTCCCGGGCAGACAGCCACAGCCTCGTCCAGCACACATCAGGTCGCTGACTCAGACGCACGCAATGCAGGGCCCGGGTCCGAGCAGTGGGCGGGAGGCCGTGCGGGAACATGCCCCGGGTGCACTGGGCACTGCTGGGCCGTCACCTCAGCTCTGCCGTCCCCCTACCGTGATCAGGTCAGTTCTGAGATGACCCACTTCAAATCACTGTAGCCGGCCCTCAGGACGAGGTTAAGGTCACGGCGTCAGTGATGGTCCCCCAGCCCTGACAGCTGTGCCATCCATGCGCCCCCCACCCCCGCTGGGACACGGTCAGGCCTGAGCGGCTGCACAGCGCATTCAGGATGCGGGATGCAGACCCGTGGCACTCACCGCCCTGACCCCACGACAGATGCGCTCTGCTCTCCCCAGCACAAGCCACAGGGATCGTGATTTTGGGTCCGGAGGGGATGGAAGTGGCCCAGGGATCTTCCTTCACATTGACCATCCAGCTGCAGCGGGACGGTGGGGAAGTTGCCACGAGTCAGTGTCTCCAGGAAGGCGGCCGGGTTATGTATTCTTTTCAGAAGGATAAGCAGCTGTCGGGTTCTGAAGTAGCAAAAACGCAGACAAGATGCCACAGGTGGCTTCTGGCCTCCCAGCTGCGCCCAGGTCACCCCGTTCCCAAGTCCTCGCTGCCGGAGCCTCGGCAGAAAGGGCAGTGGGCGTGCGAGCCCTCCAGCCGGTGGGAGGCCGCTGTGCGGTGCATGTGCGTGTGTGAGCACATGGGCTCTGTGTGTGCATCTGTGTGCATGTGCGTGAGCACACAGGCGGCCCTCCCGGCGGTCACACACTCAGAGGCAGAGGACAGAGGAGGCCACGTGGGCGCCGGGCCAGCCGCTCAGCCTGGCAAGGGGAGGGTTTCTCAAGCTCCTCGTGGGGTGACCAAGGTGGACAGACGCCCATCCGTCTGGGCTGCGTCTAGATGCTCAGTCAGCCCTGCGGCCAAGCAGAGGGACGACCGGGCTTCCCGCCCCATGAGCAGAGAAGACCCAGAGGGACGGGGCGGGACCACTGGAGACAGACATTCCTGCACAGTGGTCCAGCTCTGTTCCACGGCTCCGCGTAGGAAGCATGACGTGCAGCATAAACTGAGTATATTTAGTCACAATTGGCTTATTTTAACAACTTTATTGCAGCATAATTTACATACCATAAAATTCATCTATATTCAGTGATTTAATGATTCTTAGTACACTTGCAGGGTTGGGCAACCATTGCTACACCAGTTCCATTTCAGAACATTTCCTCCACCCCAGAAAGACCCCTCGTTCCTGCCCTGTTCCCACCCTCCATCCCAGGCACCACAAATGCCTTTTCCTGGACACTGAGTGTGGATGCAATCTCACTTGTGGTCGCGCTCTGCTCCTCCCTCCCGCCCAGCGCGCGGTGCTGCTCTCCTCTTTGTGGACCACTAGCCTCCCATCCTGCCCGCCCAGCACTTTGCTCACCTGCGTCCGTGGGCGACAGTCCAGTCCTTGGCACTTGGCTGCTGTGAACATTCATGTGCAGGTTTTTTGCAAACCTGTTTCATTTCTCTCAGGTATATATTTATGAGTAGAATTGTTGGGTCAGTTGTTGGGTAGGTTCGTGTTTAAATTTTTCAAGCAATGGCCAAACTCTTTTCCAAAGTGGCTGCGCCATTTTACCATCCCGTTAGCAACGTACGAACGTTCCGATTTCTCCACGTCCTTGCCAGGGCGTAGCCATCCTGAGGATGTCAGGGGGCATCTCCTCATGGATTTTTGTTTTCTTTGTTGTTTTCTTTTGGTTGTTTTTTGGGTTTTTAAAAAATTTTTTGGCCGCACCGCGCAGCATGCAGGATCCTAGTTCCCTGACCAGGGATCAAACCTGCACCCCCTGCAATGAAAGCACAGAGTCTTAACCACTGGACCGCCAGAGAAGTCCCTCCTCATGGTTTTGATTTGCGTTTCCTTAAAACTAACGACGTTGGGCAGCTTCTCGTGTGCTCGTTGGCCATTTATATGTCTTCTACAGAGAAATGTTTGCTCATATATTTCAGCTTTTTTTTTTTTTGGATTGGGTTGCTTGTCTTAGTTTTTAGTTATACAAGTTCTTTATGTATTCTGGATACAAGTCCTTTAGCAAATATATATTTGCAGATATTTTCTTTCAGTTTGTGGCTTATCTTTTAATCTTAATGTTGTCTTTTGAAGGGCACAATTTTAAATTTTTTTTTTTTTTTTGCGGTACGCGGGCCTCTCACTGCTGTGGCCTCTCCTGTTGCGGAGCACAGGCTCCGGACGCGCAGGCTCAGCGGCCGTGGCTCACGGGCCCAGCCGCTCCGCGGCATGTGGGATCCTCCCAGACCGGGGCACGAACCCGCGTCCCCTGCATCAGCAGGCGGACTCTCAACCACTGCGCCACCAGGGGAGCCCTAAATTTTTTTTTTTAATTTATTTTATTTATTTATTTTTGGCCGCATTGGGTCTTTGTTGCTGTGCACGGGCTTTTCTCTAGTTGCAGCGAGCGGGGGCCAACACTCGTTGCGGTGCACAGGCCTCTCATTTTGGCGGCCTCTCTTGTTGCAGAGCACGGGCTCTAGGTGTGCGGGCTCTGTAGTTGTAGCTCATGGGCTCCAGAGCGCAGGCCCAGCAGCCGTGGCGCACGGGCCCAGTTGCTCCGCGGCATGTGGGACCCTCCCGGACCAGGGCTCGAATCCGTGTCCCCTGCGTTGGCAGGTGGACTCCCAACCACTGTGCCACCAGGGAAGCCCTAAAATTTTGATGAAGTACAGTTTGTCATTTTTTTCTTTTATGGACCATGGTCTTGGTGATCTGTCTAAGGATTCTTAGCCCAAGTTCACAGAGACTTTCTCCAGTTTTCTTGTACAACTTTTGCTCTTACATTTAGGTCTCTGATCCCTCTTGAATTAATTTTTGTGGGTAAGATAGAGGTCTAAATTCATCTTTTTTCATGTGGACTCCCGTTGTCCCAGGGCCATGTGTTGAAAAGACTGTCCTTTCCCCCACTGCATTGCCTGGGCATCTTGGTCAGAAGTCACTTGACCGTAAGGGTGAAGGTTTATGTCTGGACGTCAGTTCTGTCCATTGACCGATGTATCGGTCCTTACGCCCCTGCCACACCATCTGATTATTGCAGCCTTCCAGTATGCTTTGAAACTGGAGATTCCTCCGACTTTGTTCTTCTTTTTCAAAATTGTTTTGGCTAACCTGGGACCTTTGTACTTCCATATAAATATTTCAGGATCAGCTTGTCCATTTCTGTCCCCCCAACAAGGAAAGAAAACAAGCTGCTGGGATTTTGTGAGGGATGCATTGACTCAGGCTGGGAGAACCGCCATTAGCAGCACTGAACCCGCTGATTCGTAAACGTGACACATCTCTCCGCCTATTTTTCTTTACGTTCATCTATGTTCGTATTTTTCAGTGAGCAAGTCTCGCACTTTTCTTAAATTTATTAATAAACGATCAATGATCTATTATTGTTTGATTCGAATTTGCTTATTAATACATTTGTTACATTCTTTTACGCTATTATCAATGGGATCGTTTTGTTTTCTTCACTTCAGAAATTGCTAGACTACGGTTGAGTTTTCCACGTTGATCTCATCTTCCTTGACCTTGCTGGTTATTTCTGAGGATTTCTTAGGATTCTCTATACACAGGATCATGTCGTCTACGAATAAATACAATTTTACTTCTTCCTTTTCAGCCTGGATGTGTTTTCATTCCCGGCAGCAATGGCTGAGGGTTTTAAACCCTCCCCCTCCTCGCCAGCACTCTTTGCTCTGTCTTTCTGGGTATAGTCATCCTAGTGGGCAGGAGGTGGCATCTCACTGTGGTTCTGTTTGCATTTCCCTAATGAGTGGTGATCTGGAGCATTTTTTTCATGCACTTATTGGTCATTTGTACATCTTCTTTGGAGAAATATCTATTCAGATCCTTTACCCATTAAAAAATTGAGGCAGGGCTTCCCTGGTGGCGCAGTGGTTGAGAGTCCGCCTGCCGATGCAGGGGACACGGGTTCGTGCCCCGGTCCGGGAAGATCCCACATGCCGCGGAGTGGCTGGGCCCGTGAGCCATGGCCGCTGAGCCTGCGCGTCCGGAGCCTGTGCTCCGCAACAGGAGAGGCCACAACAGTGAGAGGCCCG